CGCCATATTTGTGATAACTTTTGATTAACTCTATTACGTTTTTTAAATTGCACTCTTAATAACAAAAATAAAAAAAAATTATATGCCTCCTAAATCATCGGGATAACCATCGTGTATCTCCGAGAATATTTAATAAAAGAGATAAAATGAAGACACGGCGTGAAAAAAAAAAATTATTTTGATCATGTAAGGTGAACCTTTGGGCGATACTGGATTATTAGACTCGTCGCTTGGCTCACACTTCATTCGGTATTCTCGTCCAAAAGTTTTTCCAAATTACAGTATCCGTCACATTAATTGTTTTAAAAGATTATTCCCATTGTTTTTTCCCTTGAATCATATCATTTCAGTTTTTCACAAACGGCCGGCGAAATAACTGGGCCTAAGAAAGTTATTTTAAGTAAAATGCCGTTTTTTGCATTCGTTAGGCCATAAAGAAAGTGACCAGTGCGCGACTGCTAAGGATGTTCAGTACAGTATTGTTCCTTATTGTTGCCGAGGCCCGTGAATCAGTCTAGGTTATATTTGTCTTAGACATTTATTTCTAATGTTTAAATTCGAAATGAAAATCGCTAAGTCAAGTTGAACATAATGTCCAATAAATTTATTGAGGAAGCTTATATGTATGTAGTGTTTGGTAATTTTTTTTCTTTGCCATTAAGCAATATTCTTTATACAATGTCTTAAAGTAGTGCTTTCTGACATGACCAAATGTCTACCATAAAACTTTTTTTTTTATCTTATCTATAATTATTTTGTTACATCTTTCAATTATTTTCCGAAAAAATAATTTTATATTCCCACTATTAAAAAAACTTCTTCGCAAAGATAAATCACATTTGTTGTGAATTGTAATAAACTTGAATCAGTTGCTTTAATTTTATATCTTTAGAACATGGAGGAGTTTCGTTAAAGGAAAGTTATTGAAATGTATGAATAGATAAAAAGAAATAATAAAATAAAAATAAAAATAAATTATTCGAGAAAATTATTATTAAAAAATTTTTTTTTTTTTGAAAGGCATTTGCAGCAATTGCAGCAATTGCAATAGCTGCCAGAAGACCTAACATATTCCATTAAATTTTTAATTCCGCTTTATTTTATTTAATTGAATAATTTATAGTTGAACGCAATACCTTAATAATTCAGAATTATTGACGGATCTTATTGAAAATAATATATTTAAAAGGACTATTTGTTCTTGATAATACGTTGATTGATTGTACATGGACGTCGTAAGAACTAATTCTTGTGTTACTTGATATAAGAACATTTAAAGAATAAAGGTACGACTCAAATTTTTAACTATTGATATTCGATTATTCAATTTTCATTTTATTTATTCCGAATTTTTTTCATTATTAGTTATGTTTCATCACCTGGGAGTTCATTAAAAGCTAAGAAATTTATAATTACAACAGTTGCTAGATTTTATAAATTCATCACAAAAAAAATCATATTAAATGTATATATCAAATACGCCCGTTATGTTAACTGGATTTGTAGTGCCTCAACTATTTTGTTTTATTTTTTTTTTTTTATGTAACCTTGAAATATTATCGGTCCGGAACAAAAAAAAAATAAAATAAAATTAAGGATCAGAACGATTCATAACCAATCTTAGGGCTGGTCTTATGGACGGGTTACAAAAACAATATATATTATTATTGACAATTGATATTTACATTTATTACCTAAAAATCATAATTAAAGAAAATGGCACCGTAAATAGAAATTTTACTATAGACTTGTCTGGAAGCAAATATCTCAAAATTTCTTTGGCTTTTGAAGTTGTCGATATGCCATTGGAGCAGGATATCGCCTCACGCTTTCTTTTATAATAGCATTTAGATAATGAAAATCCTAAATATTAACGAATTGACAGCGAACATAACGAAAGGTCTTTGTAAATTAATTTCAATTGATCCACTGTTGTATTCTGATTTCATCACCTATTACACTTATAACTTCATCCCTAGTTTTTTTGCATTTCCTATTGATGACAAAAATTGCGTTTAGGAAATTGTAAAGTAGCGTATTTATAATATTAAAATCTCTTACCAGATATCTTGCAAGATTATAAATAGAAGAACTTATGGGCATCGATGAGCTATATAAATAAAGAATATTATTAACGTTAACGGAACTAAGGTTATTAAAAAATCGTTAAATATGCCCTTACTGTCATTTCCTGCGCTAAAAAAGTTTATCACATTATCACTTAAATTTTCCTTCCGATATATATACACTAGTCTCCAGCATGCTTATCAATAATATTTCATTATTGGATGTTTTCTTTTCCATTTAATTTTTTACGTTTAGCTAATTCGAATCTTTTAATATCAATGATTTCATATATAAATTATCAAAGACTTTTAATGTTTCATGGAGCATTCTATTCCTTTTATTCCTTTTGTAATTTATTTAGAAAGGGAAATATATATAATGAATATGATTCAAAATGATTCATGATATATTTAGCAATTCTTTCGATTTTAAGGTCTTCAAAAGTAAAAAGAAAGTTTAACAAGGTTGATTTTTGATTTAACAAGTATTTGATAAGTATACTTACTACGAACGAATATCTGTCCTAATACTATATCTGTTGTAGCAATTCACAAATGTCGATTTGCTCATGAATTTCGCTGTCATATATTTAAACGCTTCCAAAACAACTTCAACAATGACATTAGGAGTCAATGAAAGATTAATTACTGGTTCGATAATTTCCTGTGAGCATGCCATTCCTATTGAATTTACATTCACGAAACAACCAAAGTAACGTAATTGTAAAGCAAGTAAAAGGTAATATGTAAAAATCTAACGATATTTTAAATTAATTCTAATTTAAAAAAAAATTTAATAAAATTCTTATTAATTTACAGCAAAAGGCAAAAAAAAAAAACTACTTTACATTTATCAAGGTTTTTTTTTTTTTAAAAAAAAAAAAATAACAAAGTACTATTTTCATATTATTCTAGTAATATACAAAGTTAATTAACAATCACGTGAAAGTTTCGCAAATATTTCATTGCTATTTTAAGTATTTTACTGTTGTTAATCATTGAATATAACGAAACAAATTCAATTTTATGACATCCTATAAATGATTCCTATTTCTTGCACAAAATGTCTTATGTTCCGTTCATTTGAGTGTATTATGACAGTAAATTTAATAGATAAATCTGAAGCAAAAAAAAAATGTTAAATATAAAATTCTGAAATATCCAAGAATTAACTTTATTTAAATTTTTGAGTTTACTGAAGGTTTTCTTCTAATGTCAATATTAATTATTTTTAATCTTTTTATTTTTTTAAGGTCTTTCAGTATATCACGTTCATATGGTGTTCAGGACCTTTTTAGCGGTATTTTTAGAAATAAAGGTTTGATGAATTGAAAAGGTTGTGCGTTATTATTCATTCAGTAAAAAACCATGATGGTGGAAATACCATAAAAGTAATAATTAAAGCGAGGTAAGCTATATATTGTAAGTTGTCCTTTTTATGAATTACTTAATTGACATAATCAGGAAAGGAAGAAATTAAAGAATGCTTATTCTTGAAAGTTTAGGAAACTAGCAATTTTTAGCTTAACTTTAACTTCAGGTATGATAGTATTTCATTGCACGAGATTTGGATTTGAATTTAGATAAACTATCAGCAACTCAATATCAGGAAATAGAAGGCAGTGTTATAGTGAATATTTCGTATATTACTCTGAATCTTGTATGTACTCTCACTTAATAAAGATTATTTATAAAAACAATGTTTTATGCATTTATTTAACAATTTAAAATATTAATGTTAATAATATTGTAGATAAATTATAAGGTTTATTGTGAATATAAGTAATAATGTCACGGGCTTTGAATATCAATGATTTTCACGGCGCAGCCGTGAAAATCATAGTGACTCTGTGAATATTACATAATAATAATATAAATTGAAATATAAACTATTTGAATTACCGATTAAAACTTCTACTCTTTAAGTATTTCTGGATAAATAATTTAATTTTAATATTGTAATAAATTACCCAGTTATTATTAATAAACGTTAATTAATTTACCTTCAGGAATTTCTAAATCATCTTGATCTTCTGAATGAAGATTCGAATTATTATACATTTCTTCATCATCTAATAAGGTTGAAATATTAAATTATAAGTTAAGTTTAGCAATAAATTAATTAAATTTATCTATTTCTTACCATTGCTTAACTTATAACATTTTTGCACATAATGATTTTCGATTTCATCATTACTAATATAATTAATTCCTAAAATAAATTATATAGTTATTAAAATATAGAATTAAAAACTTTGTCAATTTACAAAAAATTATCTTTGACATTATTAAGTCTTATTTTGTTAGATTTTATTTTTAAATTTTCTAATTAAAGTAATAAAATTATAATGATAAATATAATCGTTATTATTTAAAAAATAAAATGACTCAATACCATTATTATTATATAATTTATTTCTTTTTGATTTGTAAATATCGATATCTGTTAATATTGATTATAAATATTTAAATATAAATTGAATTTAAACAAAATATTATAAATTATTTATACTTACCAACAATTTTTGTAGAAATATTTAGTTCAGTATAATCTTTAGATATTTCTTAAATTTTTTTTAAGGTAATCAATTAATTTATAAATTTTTTATTAATTACATATAAACCAATATTACTTACTATCTGGAATATTAAGATTCATTTGCTTGCTATCATAAACTTTTTATAAAATGATATATCAAATAAATATTAAATTAAAATTTAATTTAAAAATTTTAAATAACAACCTTTTTATTTTTTTCTTTTTATTTATTATAAATAACTTACCTTTAATAGCATTCCTTGGTTCAGGTAAATCTTTAAAAGTATAAAGATTACTTAATTTACTAATTAATGGATTAATAGAAGTAGAACTAATAATTGATTTTGTATTTGATTGTATATTATCTGATTTATCATTATTATTTTGATAATAAAAACTTTGCATTTTCTTAATTTTATTATAAAGAATATCATTATCAGGTCTTTTTAATGGATCAGCATCCCAACATTGTTCCATTAAACTTTTATATTCTAATGGAGTATCTGATACTATTGTTGGTCTCATTCCATTTACTATTTTCATTGCAAGATCATAATCATGATCAAAATTAGCAAAAGGAGGTTGTCCAGATGAAATCTCCCACATAATCATACCAATACTATAAATATCTGATGCAAACGTATGTCCTCTTCCAATAATAACTTCTGGTGCTATATAAGGAAGATTACCATATATACTTTCTAATGGTTTATTAGCAGAACCACAAAATCCAAAATCACTAATTGTCCAAATACTGAAATATTGGCAATATAATATATTTCCTGAATGCAAATCTCTATGGATCAAATTTTCTGTATAAAGAAGAAAATATGATTCATTTATGTTTAAAATAATATCTATTTTTTGTTTCCATGTAATTTTATATTGTTGTAAATATTTCCTTAAATCTGTACTAGCTATACACATTACCATGAAATAATCTTCATTTTGAAGATTTCGAGTAAGACCATAACAAAGACCAAAATATTTGTATTTACTATTTAATCTTATTTGAGTTTCAGCCTACGAATGAGAATTCAATTGATTAGCTACCATT